TATATCGGACCGATTTTTACCTCAAAATATCGCTAAAAATCGCTAAATATCGGAAAATATCGCCGATAATATCGTTCCCGATATTTTGACCGATATTTGAGTTCCGATATTTTTTCTAGGAGCGATATCCGATATATCGACGATATATCGCGATATTAACAGCATAGATAATGAGTTCTGCCCATGCTAGGATTACATCAAAATCAATGCAGGGCCAAATGTTACAGACAAAAATTAGGAAACAGCACTTTCTAAGATGTGAACATAACATCCATACCTGGTGGCAAGACTTATCGGTCCTCGACTCCCATACCTGGTGGCAAGACTTATCGGTCCTCGACTGTGTTGAAGTACTGTTGTTTTGATGTACCAAACTTCTTAAAATAGTGTTATCTACATACAATCGGGGATCACAAATTTTTCTTTTTTACGGAAGATTAGGGAGTTCAGAAAAGTGTGGTGCTAGTTCATATGGTCGATGGAAAATGAGTTGTTGCTTCATTATCTATCTGGCAAATATGTATATAATTTGCATATACAATATACATTGCAAGTGTTGTGTATTAACTTTATCATGCAAGTTTTGACTGCTCGAATATCTTGTACAGGTCTCCCTCCAGCAGCCGCCTCAATATGCTTGTGCATGCATCTTTCTTCTCTCTGAAGTTCTTAAATCAAGACCACCTCTCTGGCGAGTATTTTTTTAATCACTACATGGTCTTCAGAGAATCATGTATGAGCTTAATACTTGGTCATAATGRTGAAGTAATGTTTTCATTTAATTATTCCAGGAACATGTTACTTCAGAATGAGCTGGCTGATGAAGAAGTTGAACATTTTGAAGACATTGTTGAAGAACCAGACATACAAGCAAGCACAGCAGCAGATAAACCATTTAATTCTGGTGAAGCAGTTCATTGCAGTGATGGTATCGATAACGATGATGACCCCTCAGAGGATGAAGGCGGGTCTCCAGCTCCCAGTTCTGATGATGAGTATTCAGACAAAGGAGATGGTGACTTGCTCGGGTTTGGTGGTTTGACCACACTTGGGGAATCTGAAACGACGAGCGAACCACGAGTACAAAATGCGAAGTCTTCATTGCCTAGAGGATACAACCCTCGGCATAGAGAACCTATTTATCGGTACTTGTTCTCTACTTGAATCGTATGTCGTAGTATTTTTTGAAATTTCAACCAGTTAAGGTATAACGGGCTTCTTGTTTTCATGGTTGATAYGTGACAGCAATGCAGACCGTGTGGGGTGGTGGGAATTGATGGTATTAGCTTCACATGTACATCCGTCGGTTTCTACCATGGCGAAAACCCTTCTATCGGGGGCCARCATTGTCTACAATGGAAACCCATTAAATGATCTTTCGCTTGGTGCTTTCTTGGACAAGTTCATGGAGAAAAAACCAAAAGGAAGAAATTGGCATGGTGGTTCCGAGATCGAACCTGCGAAACAGGTTAGTTTTCAAGTGTATTTTTGGCTAGTTTAGTATTTGTAGCGACTGCAATCTCAGGGCTTTTCCTTGTATGTATATACACAGGTTGATATGAGCAAGCCATTGATTGGGGCAGAAATCCTCCAATTAGATGAAATGGATGTAGCTCCCGAAGATGTTGTGTTCCATAGGTTTTACATGAACAAGATGAATTCCTCAAAGAAGCCAAAGAAGAAAAAGAAGAAGGGGGTGGAGGAAGAGGCGGCAGAGGACTTAATAGGAGAGGGGGAAGAGGATGAAAGTGACGACGAGGAGATTGAAGCCATATTGGATTCTAGCAACCCTGCTTTGGATACAGATGGTGATTATGATTAT